ATGACGGCTACAACAGCCGAAATGGCCGCGCCGATCAGACCGAGGCTGGGTCGGAGACAGCCAGACAAGTTAGAGGTTGGCAAGTTTGAGTGACATGCGCCTAGAAGCCTCCGTCCTCACCGCCCTCTCCAACCACAGCAGCTTTGACAGAGTTGACCCTGTGACGGACAACTGCTGGGACAGATTCTCAAGCTCCCCCCAGGCTGTGACAACCCAGATTCTGCGCGAGCTGAACTACCAAGGTTTGCCCGAAGTGATCTAATCGTATGGAGCCTGCTCTCTTGTTGATACGCAGCGGGATTCAGTGGGCGAGTGAGTGTGTGTGTGTGTGTGTGTGTGTGTGTGTGTGTGTGTGTGTGTGTGTGTGTGTGTGTGTGTGTGTGTGTGTGTGTGTGTGTGTGTGTGTGTGTGTGTGTGTGTGTGTGTGTGTGTGTGTGTGTGTGTGTGTGTGTGTGTGTGTGTGTGTTGTGTGTGTGTGTGTGTGTGTGTGTGTGTGTGTGTGTGTGTGTGTGTGTGTGTGTGTGTGTGTGTGTGTGTGTGTGTGTGTGTGTGTGTGTGTGTGTGTGTGTGTGTGTGTGTGTGTGTGTGTGTGTGTGTGTGTGTGTGTGTGTGTGTGTGTGTGTGTGTGTGTGTGTGTGTTGTGTGTTGTGTGTGTGTGTTGTGTGTGTGTGTGTGTGTTTGTGTGTTTGTGTGTTTGTGTGTTTGTGTGTTTGTGTGTTTGTGTGTTTGTGTGTGTGTGTGTGTGTGTGTGTGTTTGTGTGTTTGTGTGTTTGTGTGTTTGTGTGTTTGTGTGTTTGTGTGTTTGTGTGTTTGTGTGTTTGTGTGTTTGTGTGTTTGTGTGTTTGTGTGTTTGTGTGTTTGTGTGTTTGTGTGTTTGTGTGTTTGTGTGTTTGTGTGTTTGTGTGTTTGTGTGTTTGTGTGTGTGTTTGTGTGTTTGTGTGTTTGTGTGTTTGTGTGTTTGTGTGTTTGTGTGTTTGTGTGTTTGTGTGTTTGTGTGTTTGTGTGTTTGTGTGTTTGTGTGTTTGTGTGTTTGTGTGTTTGTGTGTTTGTGTGTTTGTGTGTTTGTGGTGTGTGTGTGTGTGTGGTGTGTGTTTTTGGTGTGCGTGTGTGCGTGTGTGCGTGTGTGCGTGTGCTTGTGCGTGTGCGTGTTGTGCGTGTGCGTGTGCGTGTGCGTGTGGGTGTGGGTGTGTGGGTGTGTGTGTGTTCACGCGTGAGTGGAGGTTTGCTTGCTTCAGTTCCGCACATGCTGAGCAAACCAGTCCCTGAATGTGGACTTTGCCTGGACCAAAGCGCACAGGTAAGTGTGCCTTGAATCCCAGAGGAGTCTGCATGGCCAAAAAGCAGGGGCCTCCATTCTCAAGTTATGAGTCTACTGTCGAGCATGCACGGAGGAACTTGCCATCTGCGGCGGAATTAGCACGTGGCACAGTAGAAGAACCCATTGTTTTCGCTCCTGCTGGGTTGGTTGGCTGGCTCGCTGGTTGGTTTGTCGGTCATTTTTTGCTGGTTGGACGCTGGCTGGTTACTTGGTTGCTTGGTTCGGTTGTTTGGTTGGCTGGGTGTTTTTAGGGCACAGTTTTTGCAGAATTGTCCTTGTTTGCAAGAGGCTTGCACTCGTGTCCGCTCATAGGCTGGCTCCTACCTGCATGGCATGTGTCCGGCGCCGCTCGTTGCTTGCCCGTATAGCATGTTGTCAGGGAGCATTTGTTATAATATGTCTGTTTCGAAGGATGGGTTGTAGGTCAGGGCGCAACTCCCCAACAGTCGTCATGACGCCGACGCCTCTCAAGTCCACGCGGTTTGGCGTCACCAGTGACCTTCCGTCTCCACATTCAAGGCCCACCTTCACTTTCGAGGCCCAAAGTTTATCTTTGTCGATCTGCCTACCTTTTCTGCCGCAATTACATCTTCTGCGGTTGGTGCCGCGAAGCTACGAAATATTCAACCTCAGGCAAACACCTTGGAAGTGGTTTTCCGTTGTTCCACATCTGAAAAGCAGCAAGGCCACGAAGCCGCGCAGACCCTGGTTCCCGGCGAGGCCCAACCCCTCCCCAGCTTTGAAGAAGCCCCACTCCCCCGAACCGTAGACAGCATTGCTCATGCAGATGTTGTCCTGTTTGATGGCCGATGCGCGAGCGCAGACATAACACGCGAGAACGATTTTCTGAAGCACAAATTCAGAGCGTGAGCCCGTTGGTTGTTTGATTGTATAGGAAGGTTCTTACTCTTTTGGCAACTCATCCAGGAAGCCCTCTTTGAGGCTCCAAGAGTCTTAGGCAGAGGCGACAAAAGGTGGTTTATGGACCTTCATGGGCCTTCAGTGTTCTTGGAACTTAAAGGAAACTAGGTTTTCCAGTAGTGCCCTTTCACCCTTTGGGGGAGGGTTTCCCTACTAGAGTACAGAAAAAATTCGGGTACCCTTATTCTAGCCTCTCTGGAGGACCTAGGGAAACTGAGGGATGGTTCATGACTCCATCGCTCACTGAAGGGGGGTGGCTCTCGCCAGGCGAGGGCACGGCCCAGCGAGGCATTTGCGCCCGAGCCGAAACCGAAAGCGCCGGCAGCGAGCGAGACAGGCGCAGACGTAGAGCTGTCGGGGTTTGTTTTCTTTAAATATGGCTGTGGTTGTCAAAACCAATGGGATAGCATTTTGGGGTAGGTGCACCACCCATTTTGGTCCATTCTTGTGGGGATTGGGATGTTGACTGGGGGTACGGGGTTTTGACCCATGGCCCATGGCCATATACTTGAACCCTCCTGCGGATGGCACTCGCCGAACTGACGCATGCAGTGTTGAACAGTTCAGGGGCGTTTCTGCCCAGCTGCCAGCGACCATTTTCTGCTGAGTTTCTAAAGACCGCGTGTTTATCAAATCTTGCGGCAAAAATGCAAATTACACCTGAACACATTCGTGTGAGAGCTTCGGGCAAGAGCAAATCATGACATCATGTGGCGAATGAGTATACGGTCATGCATCTGTTTTTTGTTTGCGGTCTAATGTTTATGGAACATAGCATCCAAAAGCACGATTGAGTTGGTGATTGTGCGCATCGGGACATATTGTCCAGCTCTTGGCTGTTTTGCTTTGCTGCACATCCCGGTCACTGGACAGGTGTGCCTTACAATCTCCGTGTGAATTCGCTGCTTGAGTCCAACAAACGCTCCGAAGACCTCCATCCAGTTTTCGGTGGATGGCCTCGATTGCCTTGGCCACGGCTTCTTTCTTTGCCGACTTTCAGCGTGATGTTTACCTGTTGAGTTGGCAAACGTCAAACTCTGTTGGCGAATGACTTCGTCTTAGTGACCCAATAAGTGTCAACTGTTCTCTTGCCAGACCCAGCAGGTCAGTTGCCAGGTTTTGGTTGGTGAAGGAGTACCTTAGATCTCGCTGGGATCGTCAGGTTCCGCCAGCACCGAATGTTGCTGAGTTGAAGCCAACGGCCTGTTGACAATCCCGGAGTGTTCCAATCGCCGATGTGGTGCACAGGAGCAGATTCCAAAGATCCAGAGGCGACACGAGGGGAAGAGAGGCCAGGAATGCCCGGCGGCAAATGTTTTTTTGCTTCTTTTTTTGTTTTTTTTTTTTTTTTTACGGGGACCTGTTTAAGGGGCTATCTTGTGGTTTGCAAGGTTTACAACATATGGGTCGGGCGCTTCATAGCTTTTGCAGCTGAGCAAGTTGCAAGCTGCGGCACACTGTGGCCCAGAGATCGATCCCATCCCATGCTGGAGAGGTGTGCGTACCCCGCTTGGGAAATTGACGTTCCTAAAAGCTAGGACACATGATTAGCTATACAAACCGGTAAATTGAGGGGACGGGTCGTGAAGAAGACTTGCCCTGGCAACTCTTGACCTCCGAGGTGGGAAGACCCTGTGGTAAGGGTGTGAAAGAAGGGGCAAGCGAGGTTCGATCAACATAGCCCGTCTATGGTCCAATTGGTCGAAAGGGTCCCGTTTTGGTGGCTGCTTCGGGCAACACAACGACCTTTGCCCGACGTTTCCGGCCCAAAATGTCACAAGCTGAACTTTCTGTTCACCATGGCACCTGACCCCAACCCCCCAACCCCCCAACCCCCCAACCCTCAAGCGAATCGAGCCCAGGCGGCTCCACGTCGCCGCCCAGGACTTCGAGCCCCTGGCGCGGCGCTTCCCGAAAAGCAAAAATCCGACGGAGCCGAAGCGATGCATCCCGCAGAAAGGGCTTGGGACTTGGGACTTAGGGGATTTGGAGGTTGAACCTCCGGATCCCAAGATGTGTTGTTTCAGAAAAAAGAAGAAGACAAAACATGCAAGCCATAGCAAGATAGCCCATGGCTTAGGTTTTCGGATGTGTGAATGAATGGCGATTTGACCCAAAAGAATGCCTGCAAATCCGCAGGCAAAGGGCGGCTTTGAACTTCGCACACTTCGGCCAAAGTTTGCGGGCATGATGCAAAGGGGTTCAGCAACCACCGAAACCCGGGTGTTCAGCCCCGAACACTGGGGGCTAGCATTCAAAACGGAGCAAGGAGCCCTGGATTTCCCAATGAGTAGGGGAAGATGGTGACTGTACCTGAACCCTCAAATGGGTTTGACCCCCAAAATTATGGGGTGATATCCCATTTTTATGGGTAGTTTGAGGGTCCAGGTAGATAGAAATCAATCCAACCTTGAAACCTTCGAACACCTCGGGTTTTCGAGCGATTGGCTTCGGATCCGCAGGTCACAGGTTGCCTGCCTGCTGACTTGACGGTTTGCTCATAATTATTTCGGAAACAAGCGGTTGGGTTGGGCGTTGATTTAAGCCAAAGCAGTGGATGCATTAGCTAGTTGACAACCCCTTACAGAAACTGTGGGTTCGCCATCGGTTGATTCTCGCCCAGCAAAGCTGGAAGTGTCTGGAATTCTGACAGATCAGCCGATCCACGTGGTGAAGCTTGGAGTTCCAAAAAATGCTTGGCAACAGGAGCCCTGGGGTTCAGTTGCCACCATCAAAACGATGGTTGGGTTTACAACCACCATGATCATCCGAATTACCATGAGTGGTTCAAGATTCATTCAATGATTGTCATCCAATTTGGGTCCCCAGGCCGTTCCTTTCACGGGCAAGTCGAACCCTAGGGTCAGGCAGACCCAAGCGGAGAACCTCCCCGGGCGCTAGGGCCACGGGGAATTGGAGCTCAAGGAGGGCGACTTGGTGCGGGTGCTCCTTGACCCCCAGGCCACGCAGGCGACGGCAGGGCACCGTCGGCGGTGGCAGAGCTTCGTGCGTCGTGTCTGTGTGTGTGGGTGTATGTCTGTGTGGGTGTGTGTGGGTGTTTTTTTTCGTTGTTTCGTTTTTTTCCTTCGAGAATCCATTTGGTCACCGGTAGGGGCCGGGATCACCCATTATTGAGGAGACAACAGCCAACATAGCGCCCTGGGGTACTCGAGTTGAGGGGAGCCTATTGTGAAGCTAGGCCACCAGAATCTTGGTGCTTGGGAGGTGAAATGCTGGGATCTTCTTGTTCAATCGTACCCTGTCAAGAGAGAGCTCAACATCCAAACCTTGAGGCAGCCGAAAATGTGAGGTTGAAGAGTGTTGTTCCACAGATTGACGTAGCACTGCTTGATAAGCTGGATGTGTCTTTTGCAAGATTTCGTCACCCGCTGCTGGTTCCAGGAATAGTTGGCTGTTTGTACCGTCAGCGACCAGATACTGACTCGCATAACTGAATGCAGGACCGCTGACACCTTTTTTTTGGTTGTAAACTGACATTTACATGTTTAAGTCTGACGACAGACTTGTTTGAAGCTGCTTGCACTATTATTACCGACGATGCAGCGACCATCAACAGACACACACACACACATTCACATGTGAGCAACTGACAAAACTAGCTGGTTTAGGGAGGACAATAGGGACAACCCAACATTTCCCACAAAATTGAAGGGGGACGACCCAATTTCGCCCATGTAATCCTGGGAAACAAATATATAATTGTCGCATTGTCCTTCTTTCATATAGCATCATATAGCATTCTCCGCGGATCCTCTTTGACGGCCGACATCTTTCACTGGTGCAGTGCGCTTTTAGCATATTAGCCACAGTCACTGAGGTGTTGCGCACACCGCATTCGACCATGTGACAGACAGAGACAGACAGACACAGCGAGCGAGCGAGACAGAGATATAGAGACACAGACATTGCGTGCCTGCGTACCTGCTATGCATCAGCATTTGAATATTAAAGATTATGTTCCGTTTCGGGTATACTACCTGAATGCAAGCAGAATGCATGCCCCCAAGCCAAAGATTTGGTGTCAGTGTTCGGCCCAATTTGCACATCCATGTGAAGCATAGTTTCCTTCGCCCGTTTTCCGCACGAGTCAAGTCATGTTTTGGCCCATGGGCTATCCGCATCTGCCCAGGCCGGTCATTGCCAAGCCGGGGACCAAGGGCGGTCTCCGTGTCTCCCAGGGTTTGGAGCAAAACCTGCCGCGGATATTTCTTGGCAAGCGAAGGGTCGATTGTGGTGATTGAGGGGACGCTTAAAACAGTCAACACGGAGCGAATGCAAGCGCCGAAGCCTGTTGCATGACAAGCCTTTACTACAGTCGATTGACGACTCTGATCACTGGCCACTGCTTCAGGGGAGCTTGCAATTGTTTGTAAAATGATGAAAAGGAATACCTTGAACTGCCCACTTTACGAACCAGGCCAGTGTATTTTTGCTCCCCTTCCAGAACAGTCAGTTCTGCTCAGACGTGGAATCTTCATCTTAGGACCGCTGGGTCTACGGGGAGAAGGAGGACACGGCATCCCGACTGCAAGACTTTTCAGTTGCCTTTGTCGATGGCATGGGGGTGAATGCTGGCATGGTTCAATTACATGGAGTTCATGCTTAAAGCAACCGAGGCGAAGTTATGCAGATTTGCTCAGGTTCCCTCTCTAACTAGTTTGCAGCCCGCTGCAAAGATGGTGGACATGCTACAGCCAGAAACACGCTAGCAAGCTTTCCTTTGCCTGCTTTAGTAAGGCCCCTATGCCGCTACCCATTTCAAGACGCCCGTTGACTGCTTAGAATACGCACGATCGCCTTTATTTACAGAAGACTACAGTAAAGGCCGGGCGGAAACAGAATTGGGTGCAAAACGAGTTGAGATCACAAACGTATGTGGCAGTGGAACACGAGGTTGATGAGTCCAAACAGGCGCAGGGTTGGAGAACTCAACCATGTGGCAAATTTAAGGAAACTTAGTTAACCCGCATGGATGATTCTTGTTCTGGATTGCCTCGTTTTGTTCGTCGCTAGAAGGGCCTCTCGGCCACAGTTAGCCGGCGTGGAGCCTGGATGCTTGTGCTCGACTGGAAAAGAGGAGCATCTTTGAGAATCGAATGCAGCTGAATCGACATGCCTTTTTCAATCTTGGATCAGTGATGCGAAAGTCTTTGTCGGGTGCAAATTGTATCAGCGGCCCGCCCAACCAAGCGATAGCTGTGCACCTGCACACCAGCGCACGGCAGGATGGAGCGCAGGGCTGGTTCCCGCTGTCCCACACGGTGCCATCTTGAGGTGGCTGAGCGCTCAGGGAAGCGTGAAGTGAAATGTCTTGCCCTAGGCCTGGCATCATATGAGCCACAATGAAAACCTGGGTAGTTGAAGGTTAGCAAGGGCCACTCCCGACCAGAAATGGGTGCAGCCGCCTTGGTAACTCTTTACATGGTGTTGGGTTGGTTCATCGTTTTGGTGCCAGGCTTTGAGTATGACTTACATGGTAAAGACAAGCATTGCTTATGTGATCTCTTTTCCAGACTCAGAGGGTGTGAGAGCTAGTGCGCAGCGAGATGAGCAAGCCTTGGAATGCTCTTGGTCACTGTCCTCGACAGATGTAGGTGGCTGACCTGAGTTGCAAGCATCGCCGCCTCACTGCCTTGCTTTGGGAATAGCATCACCCCTCACTATCAATGTTGCCTTCAATCCATCCATTCATCCATTCATCCATTCATCTATCCATCCATCCATCCATCCATCCATCCATCCATCCATCCATCCATCCATCCATCCATCCATCCATCCATCCATCCATCCATCCATCCATCCATCCATCCATCCATCCATCCATCCATCCATCCATCCATCCATCCATCCATCCATCCATCCATCCATCCATCCATCCATCCATCCATCCATCCATCCATCCATCCATCCATCATGATCATCCATCCATTCATCTGGGCCGTCCGGGCCGTCCGTCCATCAACCTACACAGTCCTCGAGCAAGCATCAACTCGTGTCTTGCGTTTGTTCTCGCTTTGGCAGGAGGACTTTGAGTGTTGCACTTAAACCATTTTGCGTGTCACCCTTGAAACTCGGTCTTGCAACCTGCCCAACTTGTGGCCTTTTTGGCCGTGCCCAAGAAGTCTGCAGCCTAGACACTTCCATGGGATTTTGCATGCAGTGATGGGCTTGGTGGCTTGGACAAGGCAGCTGCGACATGTGCCCGGCTACTTGGACTCGAACTGGATGAAAACCTTACAAATCTTTGGTGCATGTTGCTTGGCTGTTAGGACTTTACCTTTTTGCCAGCTAATGGGTTTTCCACTAAACCACTAAAAGTTAAACTTTTAGCAGGGGAGCAGAAAGCAACCGAGAAATTGTATGAACACCTCACCGAAGGCCAATGTTCCGAATGCTCCTGCGAGGTTTTGCCAACTTGACTCCAGACATGAAAAAGGCACCAACACTTTCCTGCGAGCTTACACAAGATGCCTTCTCCGTTTAATTGGAGACGTACAGTGAGTCCAAATATGACTTCTCCTTTGGCTAGGAATTTCCATAGAATGCAATCATCCTTCATGGTCGAACCTAAGTCTTATCTAGATGTCCGGCTTTCTCCAGTTTCTGGACTTTATGCTTGGGAAGATTTGAAAGGTAAACAGTCTGGTTACAGGCCTTTTTCTGGCCAACCACCAATTCGAATTCCCGTTTCATATTTCGCATGCGGCTTGAATCGACTGAGGATGAAAAAGGCCGAGAAGTCGAGCCGCGAGCCGCGAGCCGCGAGCCGCGTCGAGTCCCTGTTCGGGCCACTGCGATTTATGAAATGGCTGAGCTTGTTTGGAAATGCTGAAATCCTAAGCCGCAGTCGGCAATGTCTCTGAGGAGGCAAATTCGCAGGATTGGAGAGCTGGTTCGTGACCTTTTGTGTGCCTCCTTTTCCAAAGACAATGTGACGTCGTATTGTTTTTGACAAAGCCGGGATGTTCCTTTCTAGCAGGTTTCAGCATTTCAGCTCGCAATTGCGGCCAACCTATTTGGATGCGTCCTTGTTCTAGCGCTTAGCTGCTGCGAGCCTGATTCAACCTGTGTTAGTGATGTGTAGCTGGACCCAGTCTGCTTCACACTGGCTTTGCAGGGCTGTTGGATTGATTATTCTTATTTGGGAAGCCAACTGCGAAGGAATGGATGCCGGGGAGCTGTCCCTCAATGAAGGACAATAACACTCTTTGGGCACTGCTTGGCTACCTATTGCGGATAGACGAAACCCTGCACCACCTAATAAACCCAGGAGTGAAGATTTCACAGCAAAGACCAACAGACAAAGGTTTCCCTTGGTTTCAAAGTGGTCTAGGATTTCGTCCATCCACAGTATGAGGCCTGTGAGCGAGGAAGATTTGCATGTGCCGCTTCATAGTATCAGGTTTCAGTCATGCTGGCAACATTAACAAAAAACATGCCGGGGGATTAGAGCGCAACATATATGCTGCGGCTGATGGTGGGCGATTGACTTTTCATCTCAAACCTAACCCAATTGGTATTTGTTCTTACGGTTTTCCTTCAAGACTACCTCCAAAAGGTCCCAGGCTGTTAAAAATCCTGGAGGCGAAAGCTGCGTCACGCGAGTTTTGGAATGACTTGTCTGCCTGTTATTTTTGAAAAGGGGTACCCTGAAGACGCGGCCCCATGTTGCCGCTGACGTTTTTTTTCTGCAGCACGTGCAAATCCACTTCCACGCCTCGCTCGCCAGTGGGGTCCACGCGGCCTCGCTCGCCGAGAGCGCTTGGCCCATTCGGCCAAAGCTGCCGGAGGTTTCCGCAGTCCGAGGGATGAATGTTAGTCGCTTGCAGATTTATATGCACCCTAGGGTTCAAACCACCATTCAAACAGTGGGGTATAACCACCATTATTTACCTAAGGATTGTCATCATCCAAATAGGGTCAACCATTCTTTAAGGGGGGTTGAACCCTAGTGTACATGGTAGTGTACAGAGAATCCAAAAGGGGGTGCCCCAAAAGAAGATGCCCGTGCAAAGAGTGGGAGAGTAGACCAACAAAAGACAAAACATGCTCTATCAAGATGTTTGCCCCATGCTTTTTTCAACATGATCTTCGAAGAAGGCTTGCCTGAACACACAGCAAATTGGCAGGTTCAGCACGTGCCGCGGTCACCAACCCCTCAATGGGTTGATATTCATGGGAGCCACAACTAGAGCTCGCAAATGGTGCTTGACCAAGTTTACAAAGGCACGAAGGAGCCACGAGCAGACCTTATAGACATACTGTGGATGGACGAAATCCTGCACCACCTAAGGAGCCCTGGAATGATGATTCCCCTGTAAATACCAACAAACAGTGGTTTCAACGTGGTTTCAACGTGGTGCGAAACGGATTTCGTCCATGCACAGAACAGGTTGGGACGTGCGACAGCTTTCTAGGCTTTCTTCAGACCACGGAAATTCAGACGCCGATGCCCAATCCCAGGCCTTAGGAAAAAGGTGCTCAGTGGTCTTGGCTGCGCTGGCTGCTCAAGCCTCGCAATCTCGTTGGTCCGAAGCCCAAGTGCACATATTGATAGCCAGCTCCAAGTACGCGACCCCGGCCTTTGCAATCCCTCCTGGAGAATCTTCCGTCTTAGTTGCTTGCAGCTTTAGATAGACTGGTGCCATCCTGAACAGTCAGTTGGAGACAAGCGCACGCAAGGTCCATTTGCTTCGCTGTGCAAAGATCTGAGACGGAGAAGATGGGTTAAGGAAAAGAGAAGCTAAGGGATGGCATTGTGTGCAGCTACAGATGATACGTAAATTGAGATAGCCAAAGCGAGCCCGGGAACCTCGTTCAGTTGGTCAACCTTTCGGTGGATCAACCTGAGAGTTGACACGTGCGGACGAGTTGTCGCAGGGTGGTCGTCACAGCGTTTGGTGAGCGTAGCAGATTTGCCATGCAGATCAGCAGCTTGTTCAAGATGGTTGGTTTGCTCAAACCTTGCAACGGTGGTCAATCAAGCATGAGGATTGAACCGTTGAACATGTTGCGAGCAAATTGTTTTGCACTCTCTGTCCGAATACAGCCAAGCAGGCAAACTTGGCGAGAAACGCTCGGGTTATGTGCAGCTTTGTTCAAATGGATTTCATGCATCTGTGCATTTCTCTCAGCAGGATGATCCTTGTGTCGATGCTCTCTCAGAAGCACATGGGAGATACCCGTGCTTGTTTGCCGAAACATGTGTGTCCGAAAAGGGTGGATGTTCCTTATGGATCATTGCACATTTGCCGAAATTGTGATGGCTGCGTCCTTGCTGAGTGAAACTGGTGTGCTTTCTATATGCTAGTGCTTGAAGGGCGACGGAGACTGTTTGTAATGTGCCTTCCTGCGATCTGGAACCCTTGCTGCCGCATGTAGGGCCACCCTACGTGTGTTGACAGGAACCTCATAATGCTACCGTGCCCCATGTTCCTGTCGAGGCCGATTTTATTTTGTTTTGGCTCTCAGTGCTCAGGATTCGTGATAGCTCCATTGCCTCAAGTTGCAGCCAGCCTCCCAGTACCAAGGCCAAGTTCAACCGCAATCGCCAAACAGTGAACACAAACATGTCCAAATTGCAGCACTCCACAGCACCCATTGCGACACGTGCGCCTTCGGCTGCAAACCCACAGAGCCGCTAGCCCCGCTCGCCCCTCGCATCCTCGCACCTTGGGCCCTGCGCCGTCGTTCATTGGGCGCCATGAAGAAAGGAGCTCGAGTCGGGCGGCCCTGGGGTTCAAGATGCGCATGTCGCGTCATAATTAGTCACCACCTTCGCACTGTGCCAGGCTATTGCATGGGGTTGCTTACAAATGCCTAGCCGGAGCCGGAGCCTTGAGGTTTTCGAGGCCCCAATGCTTCTGTACCCCTGAAACCGGCCATGTTCATAGCTTCGCCAAGGTTTGAGGTATTTTGAGTTGCATGTGGTTGGCCTCAGATCTTGGCACGCTTGGAGCAGCAGTCTCTTGGCTCATGTAAGCATTGGACACTTTGCTTGTCTAGATGCTTACCTCGGGCTTCGTATCCCCCTTCGTAGTGAGGGCAGGACATCCCGTGAGTTTGACACTGTTCTCAGCCTCAGCGTTGCTGGCTCGAAACTCCACGCAAGCATGGCGCGCTGTACTCTCCTCGCTTTGAGCGTTCTACAGGCGGCAGGCATCGGTGCTTGGGCATGAATGCGTTCTGGCTGGGGTTGGTGGGTGTCAATCACAAGATGTTAGAAGTTCCTTGTGCTACTTGACATTATGTTTTTGCTTGATTTGCAGTTGTCAATGCTGATGGTGCATGTGCTGTAATGTGTTTGGGCTAGTTGGTGTACTTGCATACCCGTGTCATATCCGGGAGGGTTATAGGGTGTGAAGATTGTGTGTGTGTGACATGTGTCTGTTGTACTGTTTGTGTAGAGTGTGTGTGTATGTTATTGTTTGTCCTTGAGTGTGTGTGTGTGTGTGTTTATTTGTGTTTGTGTTTCTGTTTATATTTGTGTGTGCGCGTTTGTCTTTGCCTGTGTGTTTCTGCTTTGCCTGAGCACTGTGTACTTGTTGTTGCTGGCGTGCGGGTGGCAGGCCAGGCGGGCGAGCGGCGTGGCGGGTGCGGGCGGGCGGGCGGGCGGGCGGGCGGGCGGGCGGGCGGGCGTGCGTGCGTGCGTGCGTGTGTGTGTTTGTGTGTGTGAGTGTGTGTGTGTGTGGGTCTTTGTGTCTTTCGGTGAGTGTTTGTTTTGTGTGTCTGCGCTTGTGTTGTGGCTGCGTCATGTTGTGTTGGGTATGTGTGTGTTTGTTTGTGCTTCTATTTGTTTGTTTGTTTGTTTGTTTGTTTGTTTGTTTGTTTGATTGTTTATTTTGTCGGTTGTGTGTTTCTGTGTTTGGTTGTGTTTGCGATGTGTGTGTGTGCTGTTTGCGTATGTGCTTGTTGTTTGCTGTCTTTGTTGTTTGTTATTGTTTGTTTCTGTTTTTCTTTTTGTTTGTTTGTTTGTTTGTTTGTTGTTTGTTTTTTAGTTTGTTAGTTTGTTTGTTTGTTTGTTTGTGCGCTTGTTTTAACTTTTTGGTGTTTGCTTTTGTGTTGTCTTGTTGTTTCTTTGGCTGCTTGCTTGCTTGCGTTCTTGCTTGCTTGCTTGCTTTCTTGCTTGGCTGGTTGGTTGTTTGATTGCTTGTTTGGTTGTTTGATTGCTTTTTTGGTTGATTGCTTGCTTGCTTGCTTGCTGTGTGTGTGTGTTTTGTGTGTGTGTGTTGCATTGTGTCTCGCGTAGCGTTCATCGTGCATCGCGTGTTGTGTTCCCCGTGTGTATTAATTGCCAATTGCCAGACGTTGTGTGTTGTAAGACTGAGCGATGAGCGAGTCGATTTTATGTGTTATGTGCTTTCTATGCATGTTTGTGTGGTTGTCGAAGTTGTTTGCGGATCGCTTTGCATATCCCAGACTTGTTTGGTTTGCAAAAGCCAGGCATATGTTTAGTTTGAAGTCTTTCGCTCAGTGTAGCTTGGGTCGTGCGTTGTGGTGATTGTGCTGCAGCTCGTCGAGTTCTACTTTCACTTTCGCCCAGTTGCGGATTCCACAGCTCGCTCAGCTCCACGATTTGACTTCCCAGCTTTTGCAGGGCCTGCCACCTGAGACAGGTATCTTATCAAAAAGCACTCGGATAGCTCTGCAACCCGGGGAAACGGGCCAGGCATGAGCTGACCCAATGGAGACGGATTCGCATGGCCCGCAGGCCTTTCCGTGCGCGCCAACGATGACACGGACTTCGTCCTCTACTTGGGGGCCCCGCGCACCGGCACGCAGACCATGTACGAGGCGAAGTTGTGTCCCTTCACCCGCGTCATGATGTCAAACATGTTACAGCATATTGCAGCATGCTGCTTGTGGAACTTCCCTGTCACCATGCATGAATCATGTGCTCATGTATTTCTGGTGTTTTAGTCCGGTACGCCTTAGGGCGAAACATCGAGGTTAGTTGCCTTCAAGCTCACAAGCTCATATACTGGCTCGTTCAAAATTCATGCTGAACCCTGCGAACCCTGCCTGTGGGTTTCCCAGTGGGGTTCCACTCTATTTCGCGAGGATTAATTCGCGATCCCCATTGTGATCAACCCGGAGGAAAAGACGGCCATCCCAATCATTTCGATTTCTTTAGATGTGGTCTGGGAGTTTGCGACAGCGTGCTGAATGAAGATAAGTGTCATTAAATGACTCGGGGCATAAAGAGCCTCGCAATGATACATGACGCTTGCTGGATTTCATGTTTGGCATCATTGATGCCAGCTTAGTCTGTGCCAGTGATGTCACATGGTGGCTTTGGACAGGGAAATACAGGGATTGGTTGGGACATGCAGGAACAGTCCCCCTTCTGGTCACAACTCTGACACACACACACACAGAGTATTCATACAAGTGATATTGATCGGTCCTTTCAGCCACGTCTTTGCATTTCCTATTACTGCACCTTCTGCCAGGTGCTGTTGCTTTCCAAGTAGACCACCAATATTGCTAAAACCCATGTACTTGGCTTAGTATTCCGAATTTCCAGGCTTACATGGCATGAGCTTCCCACTGTGTGCGCGTAAGAGACGTGGAAGGGCGGCGGAAGAGATGCGGAAGGGCCAGAAACTGAAAAGACTGATCGCAAATCAGGGAAAACTTGTGCAGATTTACAATGGGCGCAGCAGGTTTGCGGAGGGGCGGCGGAAGAGCGACCATCGGCGTTGGTTAAGGTACCTGCGGGAAAGGTTCGCGACGGCGCGTCCGACGGCGTCGCCAAATAGTTGTTTGCAAAAGTGTTTCGCGTATAAGGCAGTGGCATGTGACAACAGTGCATGTATTCCTCACAACGCTCATTCCATGTTAAGCCCCTTACTGCTTTCGTGGTTCGCCAGTTTCAATGAAAAGTGAGGTTACGCTTTTGATACCCTGCTTGGCTGGTTAGTACTCCAAGTGTGCTCTTGGTCAGTAGCTCTACGCTCTGAAATGTGGGTGATTTTTCACGAAAGGATTGGAAAAGCGCTTGAGAAAGCGCAGGCTCCAATATACTTTTTTTGTTCTAGGTATGTTCAAGCACATCAGCTTACTACGCAATGGTGAGACAATTATTACTGCATTCTTCCGTCTAAATCCGCAATTTTCCCAGTGCAGCTGAAGCGAGCGAGCGAGCGAGCGAGCGAGCGAGCGAGCAAGCAAGCAAGCAAGCAAGCAAGCAAGCAAGCAAGCAAGCAAGCAAGCAAGCAAGCAAGCAAGCAAGCAAGCAAGCAAGCAAGCAACAGTGACGAGAAGAGAAGGAGCAGAGAAAGATAAGAATAAGGCCGAAGCAGCTGGATGGGACCTGGGGCTGAGAATCTCGAGAAGAGGCAGAACTCTCCCGGAGCTTTTGCAGAGCTCTCGCAGAATTCTCGCGGAACTCTGCGGAACCTTACCTCAGAGCCGCCACCCAGAGCCGCCGCCCGGAAAGCATAGCGATGTCAGGCCATTTGCGCGCAGCATGCTTGCAGAGCAGCAGCCTTGAACAACGCAGCTTGCGCAGACCACCTGCGTGAGAAATCGTGCAGCGTAACTTGCGCAAAGCACATTGCGCTGGGCGGACTTGCGCAGAGCCAACTTGCACAGAGCCAGCTGCACAGAGTCACTCGCGAAAAGTGGCTTGCTCAGAGCCAAGTTGCACAGAGCGATCTTGCACAGAGCGAAGTTGTACGAGCCTGCTTTGCAGAACTGGGCTGTCTATCGTAAACCATGTGCTTTCATGACAGAACGTCTTCTTTTTTGTCAGGCTTGGGAGGGAGCTCGTTGCTGTTGGCTTATTTTTGTTTGTTTGGTGGGCAGAACCACATCGATGTAAAAGGTGTCTCCGCATGGAAGAGCGCATGAAAGGAAACACTTGGGGAAAAACGCTTTCGGGCCAATCGTCCTCTAGTTTCGCTTGCGTCATTGTGGTTTGGTTTCCGTACCCGATACTTCAGCTAAAACAGTGCCCCGCAGCTGAGCTGCTAGATGTGGAACTGCGGTGGAGTGTGCGAGCGACTTTGTGGACGGCGGATGAGTGCCGGGAAGAGGTCCGTAAGAGTGCCGGCAATTCTGTTCACCATGGCCCGGAGTGATTGCCAGAGCGTCACCCTTCCTTACCGCTTTCATTGCGTGTCACGCAAGGAGCGCTCTTGTGCGCTTGTGTGTTTGTGTATGACCCGACAACTGGAACACTGTCTAAGCGCAATCAACTGACCAGGTCGGGCATTGGCGGTCCAGGGGCAAAAGTTTTCGTTTCAAGGCTAAAGTGCGACCCGTTTTCCCGACAAAACAGACCCGCTGTCTCTTGTAGCTCCCCTATATGTGCATGTTCATGTGCTTGTGTGCTTGAGCGCTTGTGAGTTCGGGAGTTCGTGTGTGGGTTCGCCTCTTTGCGATGTCTGTGTGTTTGTCTATGACCCGGCAACTGGACAGTCTCCATCAAGCGCAATCAACTGACCAGGTCGGGCATTGGCAGTCCAGGAAGAAAAGCTTTCGTTTCAAGGCTAAAGCGCGACCCGTTTTCCCGACAAAACAGCCCTCTCCCAGACCTAGCTCCCCTACTTCCATTTGCTTAAAAATACATTTTCTGGTTTATTGTTAATTGCGCCTTGTTGGTTTTAAAGGAAGCTAGCACTACTGAAAATACTTTTATTCTTTTCCAGGGGTCTTAACCAAATGGAAACCTATGTGCGCGTGTTGATGTGTTTGTGTGCTTGACTGCTTGTGGGCTTGGGTGTTCGTGTGTGGGTTTGTGTCTTTGCGTGTTTGCGTGTTTATGTTGATGTTGTTTATGTCTGCGTGTCTGCGCCGCACACTGTAGCAGCACTGCTGCATGCAGGCGGAACAATGCAGATTCAGGCGGAAAAGTGCAGAACAAACACCCACTATGCAATTATTAGGAAACGTCGTGCTAAGCTCACGCTCGATAGACATGCAGCACCATGCTCTGCTTTGTGTCGTATTTTTGAAGCTACGCCTGAAATTTGACCCCCGTTGCCTGCTGCGCGCATAAACTTCACAACTTCAAAAGCCGAACGAGAACATCAAGATTACAGACGACTTTACTTGGGATTGTCATCCATTTGACCCTACGGATGAACAATCCACTCCTCAGGGGTTTAAGGGGTTTAGACGAACAAACCTGCAACCCTCCAGCAAAGCGAACATGTTGACGGCTTATTCGAAACAAAAAGAACGATCTTTGGGTCGTGGCTCAACTTCCTTGAAGTCAACCATTTCGATAGTTTTGGGTTGTCACTGGAATTCAGCCGTGCTGTTTGCCTGCTGTGATTGCGCGAGGCTCTGCAGATCCTAGGCTTCAATCCCCAGCACAGCCGCTCGGGGCAAAAAATGGCGACAGCCTTTTGGCTGTTGCCTGCATGATTTGGCCTAATCTATCAAATGATCCTTCATTTGAACGATTCATGGAGGATCTACATGCTGGGTCTCATTCCGCCCGTGGGAAAGGGACCACATGTGAGGGCTTTGGACGCCCATTACCCAATTCCGGTGCTTCAAAATGGCAACCAGAAGCAAACCGACCATTCTGGGAGGATCCCTCACCCAAATGGAGATGTTGGACAGGCGGCGACCCTGAGCCTCATATTTCGATGGCCTTTTTGTCCTTTTTTTTCTCTCACTTTTTGCCTTTCAGTTTTTATTCATCTTCCATCTCTAGCAGCAACATCGTAAGTTGCAGGGCGTCCACCCGTCTGGCCCTTTTTCAACGGACAGTACGGAGATGATCGCCCACCTGTCCCATGGCTTTTTTGCCTGAGAAGCGACGAACAGGTACCCAAACCACTGAAAAGGTTGATCCTTTGCATCGCCGCTGGTATCATCACACGTTGGCACGAGACTAAGTACAGATAATGTTGCTGGAAATGCGTTGTTTTAAGAAAGCCTACCACGCATGTTCGGAGGACATAGCTCAATAGCTTATAGACTTACCTGTGTTGGAAGGGGCGTAGAGCCTATCTGGTTGAAGATTCCTACATTGGACTGTTTGCAACCGACCTGTGCATCCTTCAGCACTTCATCGTTCAGCCTACATTTCGGTGTGGCTCAAAATTAAACAGGAGGGGCAAACCGCAGGTGTTGGTCCATGTTTCCACTTACCAGGGTTGATTTTGGTATCGCATTTTTGAGCCGCAGCCCTTTGTTACCAGGATGGCACGCATTGCAACCCGAACCGCCGAATTCGACCCAGGTGGCTACAATTTCTCTTCGCGCGACGCGCCTTGCCAGTACCTCTTTGGCAACGGCACGCTGAAAGAAGCACTGCAGCTCGGCGCGATCGACTGAGGAGCCCTTCTGCTTGGCTGCAACTGTTGATGTTTGTTGAAGCCTTCGCCGGCAAGAGCCTTTAGACTTTACAACTGGTTGGGTTGTTCAAAAGGCTTTGCCCGCAAGAGCCGCTAGAGTTTAGAACACTGTGCGTTGTCCATGGGTGTAAAGATTTCAATTGCTCGAGTTGGAATTCTTGTTAGGAATCTTTGTGTCAAGCGCACAGGTCTAACTACGTCCCCAAGTTTGACGTGTTCATTCTAAGATGGCTTTGAGTTGGATGTTCAGGTTGTCAATTCATCATAGCGAATAAGATAGTCCTCTCATCGCGGCAGCATCATTGTGTTCATTGCCCGTTGTGGTGGCAACCTCAGGCAAAGATGGCACGATCACCTACCGGAAGTGCCTATGCTCCTTTCACTGGGTGTCTAAACTCTGTTTTGACAGCGCCATGCATGTAGCAAAACCTCATTCATTCCTTTCAAACATCTGAATGTTTCTGTTCATATTAAATGGTGAACCCCCCCTTGGTTTAAAGGGACACCAAAAGAAGACCAACACTTTTTATAGGTCCCCCCCCCCCTCCCCGATTTTTTGAGACACGGCGCGTCTCTTCGCGTGCCATGACGCAAGCCCAGGGCCACGCTGGAGGGCAAGAGCGCCGGGGCTCCCGGACGGGCGTGTGCCACACGGAAGGCGGTTCGGAAGTCAGGGCTGGCGAGGGAGGGGAGGGGCAGGGAGCCCAACACGCCCCGTATTTAAGCCCCCTAAGTCCTGAATACCGCCTTATTTAAGGCTTATTTGGGCTGCCTCCCCCTCCTCTCCCTCCCTCCCAGCCTCCATAAGAAAGGCAGTGACTCTGTTTCGGGGTTGGGGGTCCCTCCAAGAGGAATTTGATCTTCCAGGTAGTGCCATGGTAGTGGGGGGGAGGGCAAACATTCCAGAAATGCTTAAGAGTGGGGGGACCTAGGTACCGTGCATTTTTATTGGAAGGTGGGTAGGTGGACCTTGAAAGTGCACATGCATTTTCCAGGTCCCCCAATTCATGAGTGGGGGATGGTAAACATTGGTTGCTGGTGCGATAGGTAGGGAATGACAGAGTCCAACTGTTGGGGAATGAACCAGGGTTAGTCATTCCAATTCTCATTCCCTGCTGAGAACCAGCAAGTATTTGGAAGGTTGGGTTTTGGACCATTTTGAATGTGGCCGTGTTTACTTTCGATGCTCATCTTCACACTGCTGCTAGAAATTTTCTGACTCGCGTGTTCAGCGTTCACTTTACCTTCGTTGTGCAGGCGGGTTCCTAGTGTTCAAGCACTTCGGTTTGCAACTTGACTTGTTCCTTCACACAAGCATGGACAGGCCACATTTGTGCGCTGCTTGCCCAGGCCAGCTGTGGTTTCTTCCTTGTGCTTCATTTGCTCACACACACACACACCACTCCAAGATAGTCGGCGTGCCGCTCTTCACAATACTGTTTGCACTCCGTACCTCGCTTCTCACTCCGTGAGTCGTACTTTTTGAGCACCTATTTTGACTTTTAACCCTTTGCTCTTGTTCGCCTTGGGCGTTTCGGGCGACGGCCTGAAGCAGCTTGAAGAGTGTTTCCCTAAATGGTGGACCTCTGTTGGTTCGTATTTAAAGGGAAACCAGAAGGAACCCACTTGTGGGGAATGAGTCTTATATTGAGAAACGCCTTCATGGCTAAAGGAGCCGTTGCCTTAGGCCCATAGTCACCTAAAGGGATGTCTTACGAGCTCAACTTGGTCAAGGGCCAATTTTCACCTATAGGAAAAATCAAAAATCATGCTGACTAGATTTTTTTGACGGCACAAAGGGTAGTCACACATATAGCGCAGAAAGCCCGCAAAGATTTTGTCGTATTCCCGGGATTTTGGGGCCGGACGGGATCGAACACTTGTGCGGAAGCGTTTTTTGGCGTTGGAAGCACATGGAAGGCGGGGCTTTGAAGTGTTCCTAACCGAAACCTATTGTAATTGATTTTTGCCCTATACGTGCTATTTGAGAGAAGGCTCCGGGAAAAGAGATCGGAATGTCTTGCGACTGGGGTAGGTGCGCAGATGAAGTGGGTAGGGTCGTAGAGCCTATTTGTGGAAAAGCGTCTAAGATCACCCAAACAATTCCCCGCGTGAACCTGTCAGGAAAGGTGAGACTTTGCCGAGCTAGCGAGTTGCATGCAACATCACCCCTGTTTCACAGGGGTAGCGCGACCTCGACAGAGCTTCTCGGTTCGAGGTTGGCCTCCAAGGTTTCCTATGTTCGCGCAAGCAAACACTCGCAGTATTTTCAGTTTGCTCCAATCACAGCATCAGCTCAAGTCACGAAGTGTGTGGTATGGGGGTGTTCCGTGCACCTCTAAAAGGGCGCCCTGGAGAAGATGGGCTATGGCCCCAAGTGGTTCAGACCCTGGCACTCCTTGCCGCTGTTCGGCGCACGGGTTCGCCGCGGGCTGGAAAGTCGAATGGCACGGCCGCGCAAGGTTTCGCCAGGTTTGAGTTGCGTGGCAGGCGCAGCACTTGAAGGTGAGTCGCGCGATCTGCGAATCGCACTGGAGTGGGCGACGTTAACTGCTGGTTTCGCACCCTGAGTGCAGATTTTGTGGCAGGCGCGGCACTTTCACAAGGCCAAGTGCATTTTGTTGTGGCAGGCACAGCACTCTCGCAAGGTCAAGTGCAGATTACGGGGCAGGCGCAGCACTTTCGCAAGGTCAATGGCAGATTTCGTGGCAGGTGCAGCACTCTCGCAAGGTCAAGTACAGATCTCGTGGCAGGCGCAAGGTCAATTACAGATCTTGTGGCAGGCGCAGCAATTCCGCAATCTGTAGTAGAGACTTTGTGGCAGGCGCAGTACTTTCGCAAGGTCGGGTTCACATAGATAGACAGATCGATCGATCGATCCAATGGAACGAGATAGAGAGAGAGGAAAGCAAGAAAGATAAAGAGAAAGAGAAGAAAGGAAGAAAGAAAGAATGGCATGAAGAAAGAAAGGAACACAGAAAAAAACGGAAGCAAGAAATATAAAAGGAAAGACAGAAAGAAGGAAGCACGTAAAGGTGGGAATAACGAAAGAAAGAAAGAAAGAAAGAAATAGCGAAAGAACAAATGAAAAAGAAGGACTTAAAGAAAGAAATAAAGAAATAAAGAAAGAAAGAAAACACGAAAACAAAAGACGGAAAGAAAGAAAGACACAAAGAAAGAAGTAAAGAAGGACAGAAATAAATACAGAAGGAAGCAAGAAAGAAATAGATAAGCAAATAGCAAAGAGAGCAGCCAAAACGAAAAACACACAGGCTGAAAAACACAAGACAGAAAGAAGAAATACAAGAAAGTAAGAAAACTGGGAAAAGAAGCAAGGGAATGAGTAGCAGAAGAGGAGTAAAAAGAAAGGAAAGATAAGAGAAAGAGAAAGAGGGAATATAAAGAGTAAGAGAAAGAGCGAGATGCTCAGAGAAGAGAAAGAAGAGAAGAGAAGAGATGCTCCACAAAAGCAATTCGCCTCCCAACATCATTGGTTAGAAGCTTCCGTCTTCCAGCTTTGCTGGAGCATACCTGGCAATGTTGGAATTTTGGTGGTTGAATATTCTGGAAAGCGGGCAAAGTCTATTCTAACTGCTGCGCGGGCCTCGACACAAGCCTGTGAGGGTGCCATGGACGAGCCCTACTTCTTCATGTACAAGGCCGTGGTTTGGGCAAACCCACCGCCGCGAAAAACCTTTGCCCACCGCCGCGAAAAACCTCCGATTAAACCATGTTTAGACCACGCATTTTCACGGTTCCTCAAGGATAGTTCATGAGGTTTGAGCACTTGAGACTTGGTAACGCGAATGTGGCAAATTGGAATGGATGAGCGAGGATGCGAAGCCATTGGGAGCATGTGGACTGGTTTCTTTGCAGATCGTTGCTTGTGGCAAAGGAACCGTTGTTCACCGTTGTTCGCCCTATAGGGCTGATTGCGCGCGAATGCTCGGCCACCGGGAGACATCACGGTACCTGGGCACATGAGTCATTGCCATCGGGAAGCGCCATTCGCACATTTGCACATTCCCAAGAAATCGCACATTCGCAAGCGCCAAGCTTGTCGCCAGACTGCGTTGCCGGTGTGAATAGATCTGCCCCAACACCTTCTCCAAGTCTTCTCCAATCATGTTACCTGTTACTTTGAGACCAAGAGGGGGGCTTTGCAAGGAATCAATTTCCGATGGTTTTTGCAAGTTGTTCGCTGATCAAGTGGACCTCTGCTCAAACTAGTGAACACAGCCTGCGCTTGAGCGACGCAACGAATGAGCGTGGGCTGAGCTCCATTTAGGAGGGGGCACGCACCAAATGAGCCAGAAAAACCAGGGGACTGACAAAATTTCTCGTATCATGGGGAAATCTGCACAATGTTGGCCGTATGTGTCTCGCCTTAGGAAGTATTTCTCTCCACGCAGTGGGTGACGAAAGCTTACCAGGGCCATGGGTTTATTCGCTGCTTTGAATGACATAGCTTGTTTGAGCACAGAAAGCTGTTGCTTCTTCATGTTATCAAGCCACATCACACTACCCGAAAGAAGCAAAGAGCAGTAACATGCTTTGTGTCTCTGCGTGTCTTTGTGTGTGTGTGTCTGTGTGTCTCTCGGTGTCTTTGTGGGTGTGCGTGTGTTTTTCTGTCTCTGTGTGTGTGTGTGTTTGTGTCTCCGTGTCAGATATTCAGGGAGACATTGCACACAGTTTCCGCTGATGTCTTTGCTGTGCAACTCGACATTTGCTTGGGACAAACGATGTGCCTTCGCACTGACTTTGCAGGAGATCCTGCAGGCCTATCCGCACTCCAAGTTCATTCTTCCGAACCTACGCACGCAATTTGTTAGGCTTCCCATTCAATTTTGTGTTGTTGCCTTTTGAAAATATTGAACAAGCTGTGATGGAGGTTTTTGTTGGTTTTTACGCATGGCAACTGCTTGCACCGCACATCGACCGGGGAACTTGGGCCCAGAATTAATCACAGGACCTGCAGGTTTCTGACCTCGCAAGGGACACGGCCAAAACGGTAAGCTTGGAACGGCAAGCTTGGAACCAAGCCGTGTCCGCTACGCCAGGCGAGGCACACTTGATACCAGTTATTTAGTTATTTCGATTGAGACACAATGAGGGGCCTGCGCAGAAAGGAACAGTTGCCTTCCCAGCCAAATGACGCAGCACTCAACAGCGATGGCTTGCGTTTTGCATTAACTTTCTCAGAGCCATTGATGGCCAGGAATATGCATGCAACCGAGATCAATGCTCACGCATGTCTTAGTGTTGAGCCTGTGCGTGCAATTTGCCGAGGAAAGTCGACCTTGACGAGTGGCTGCATTCCTACCTAAACTTCTTCAAGAAGATGCTGATCCCGGACATCGACAAGGAAGAGGGTGCGATTGACAGTATGCCACCACTTGCTTACCGGCATCCATTTGTTGTTGACAGGCTTAACATGGGATGTCTAGCCCTGTGACGGACGAAATCTTGCACCGCTTTCGCTGTGGTTTTCAATTCCCTCTCGCTCCCCATTGAACGCCGGAATTTTCAGGGCCAGTTGTTGCAAACATGTTGAACATCGCCGAAACCCCACACCACCTGTTGCGACTTCCAACAAATTTGAGGCGTGCAGTGTCTGTATAATGCGGTTGGGCGAGGTGGTGCAGGATTTCGTCCATCGACCGTATGTCCACCTGAGCCCGCCGGGTTGCCCCTGCTACCCTTGCTGGAAATATAGAACCGCTGGGAAACGAACCACCAAAAACATCAGCGCAACAACCATCATTTGGCGCACTCGTGATCACCAATGCCTCGGATAAGTGCTGCTGCAGAAAAAGTATAAAAGTTCGTTCGAAAAGACCGAGTGTTTGCAGAGTGGCTCGGGAGGTCACAAGCAGCAAATTGCAATGCAGCCTCCCAGCAACCACCATGCGCAAACCAAGCTCTTCCATCGACTCTCTGGCACGAAATCATTCCAGCTCTTTCCCCGCCTCTGCACAAGTGCTACCGGTAAGTGCTGTTGCAAAGGTCGCATGTTGCTCTAGCCACTTGGCGTGTGCGCAAATTGGGCGCATTCGCAAATTTGGAACGCTGCTACAATCGTCTCATTGTTTCCTTGGCAAGATTTATTTTCAGGCCCTCCCTTTTTTTCAAGCATTTGACGTGGTGACAAGCGTTGTGTGCACTTTGTGTTGAAACTCAATGACAAACCCAGGATGCAGTGCCGGGAGCGTTGGAGGCTGTTCAATCTGACCCCGTTTTTGTTGACCAGTTGACCCCACGTCTTGCCGCACCCTGAGCGCGTGAGAAAGGGAATAAATTAGGCGTAAACCACCACTCCAACCCCATCCCCACTCTTGCTCGTGGCAATATGTGCATCTTAGTGGGCACATTTAGTCTAGGAAAAAAATCAAGGAGCATGACAACATTGCAGAAATCTCTGTGTCAGCCTGGGTATGTTCTTTGAACAAAGATATGGCGTTGTGTCGCAGTTTTCCCGCAGTGTGGCGAGCAACTGGAGCGGAGTGAGCTTTGTCCAGGACATGGCCGTGAGAATGATGCTTGGCGCCAAGAAAGAGAAGGCCTATATGGAATCACGATATGACTACTATTCCTCGCATTTAGAGTTTACCGATTCACATTGCTCCTCGGCTGCATGGAACCCACCGGACAGCAGTTCATTCGAGGGAAACAGTGTCGCGCGCGCGCGCTTCTGCGCGCTTCCGCGCAATGGTCCATATAGGGGGTGTGTTGGGCTTCTTCTTTCTTTCTTTTTTTGCGGATGCGCGCAATTTGTGTTCCCTTGCGCACATATGGCTAGCCATATATACATATTAAGATACGTATATATATATATATATATATATATATTTACACACACACACACGCACACACATTTGAGGACTTCCGTCTGAATGGGCCTGCAAGGGGCTGACTTGGCTCTTCTGTGCTAAGTCCTCGTGCTCTTCCAAGTCCTCTTCGCAAATACACGTGCTGCGAACAATCACCACGTAGGAAAGTTGTGTGATTAAGCTAGACTGCAATCACACAGACACCACCAGGTCAATCCAACTGCATGCGGTCGAACCAAAACTCAAGCAAGATAGCGCTGAGCCTAAACAATAGCAGCCAGCTGTTGCCGTGATCATGCTTCTTGTTTGGTGGAGATGTCCCTCAACATGGGCCGATAGCAGATGAACATGTGGGTGCCGCTTGCCCACAGTTCAAAGGTTTGAGTTCTTAGGGGTGGGGTGGGGTGGGGTGGGGTGGGGTGGGGTGGGGTGGGGTGGGGTGGGGTGGGGTGGGGTGGGGTGGGGTGGGGTGCGGTGGGGTGGGGTGGGGTGGGGTGGGGTGGGGTGGGGTGGGGTGGGGTGGGGTGGGGTGGGGTGGGGTGGGGTGGGGTGGGGTGGGGTGGGGTGGGGTGGGGGTGGGGTGGGGTGGGGTGGGGGGGGGTGGGGTGGGGTGGGGTGGGGTGGGGTGGGGTGGGGTGGGGTGGGGTGGGGTGGGGTGGGGTGGGGTGGGGTGGGGTGGGGTGGGGTGGGGTGAGGTGAGGTGAGGTGAGCGGAGTTGAGCGGAGTTGAGTTGAGTGTCGATGCGGTGGCCCGCTCTGCAGCGCGTGTGTGACACCGGCCCGAAGGCCTGAAGTGACAACCCCAGCGCATACGCCAACAAGAACATAGTGGTCACGCGGAGCTTAAAGTTCCCGGATCAATACACTTGTGAGCCACGCAAAGACGCTGAGCATGCCGGCCCCGCACCTGCCGAGCAGAGTACTGCCCAGGCCGGCGTAAGGTTAATACAACATGCCATCCTCACCTCACCTCACCTCACCACACCTCACCTCACCTCACCTCACTCACTCACTCACTCACTGTTTCACTCACCTTACACTTTATGCGCACTGGGCCAATTTACTCCTTCACAATGGTCAGCTAGGGCCACCAACGCCCTGCAGCAGCAACAGCCATCGTCGCTGCTTCCTCGATACTGGAAAAGAGTCGGCCATCGGAATTGGCTCAGGATTCGCAAGCGTAGGCAATGTAGGCGGGTTGTTTGCTGCCGTGTGTTCGCCAGAAAGCCTGTCAGTTGCTCGCGGTTTTTTTTGGCAGCAGCACTCTGCCGCGCGTGCCGGGGTAGCCTCCCAACATGTCAAGCACCAGTCCTCCGCCGTTGTGAGTAAGCACGCGTGCCGAAAGTGAGCGCTCGGAAAACGATGCGTTTGACGCGTCAACGTCAAACGAATGCACGTAGTTGTTGATGAGTGGATGATTCAATTACCTGGAGTCAACCCCAGTGCTTCTGTAAGTTGAAGCCCCCTTTGGTTTTTTCGGACCTGTGGGTCTTCCTCATTCCCTCCCAGAGCCATGGAGATGCCACGAAGGTCTTAGAAAAACAAAGTTGTCGTGAATCAATGACTCGCGACAGCGAAGGTCGACTGAAAGGGCACTGAAGAATTGGAAGATGTTTTGAATATGTCACGGGCCCGTGGAATCATTCTATGGTTCATAGGTTCATAGGTTGCCGATGTTACGGTTCATAGGTTCATAGGATCATGGGTTCATTCGGTTGTTGAATCAATATGTCACGGTTCATATATGTTGCCACTTTCTGAAAGATACCAAAGTTTTGACCCCAAAGTGACCAGGTAGTCAGGGAATTATGCAAACCGATGGCGCATTTCAGGATCGCAGAAGGGGTATTTCTCACAACCAAGATCCAATACCTGCTTAAAGATTGTGCCTTCTCGCTACCTTCTATGGCAGCCTCCATGCAGTCAGTTCCAGTGCGTGGAGTTTGATACTGTGGAACAGGTGGGACATGGGACCCCATGCTTTGGTAAATGGCAACTCAAGTACTTCAGCTTGACCTCCTCGCGACACGACAAAGAGTTTCAACCAAATGGAGGATCAACCAAATGGCTAGGTTGAGCAGGCATCGAGGGTCCGTCTCATGGCTTCACTTATATTTCATTATGGCTCAGTTCACCCCTTGTCGCCGTTGAGATTGGCAGTCTTCATGAATATGCATCCATGTCTCAGCTTACACGGAATGTTATCTGAATGTCTTGCCAAGCAACCGCAATGTCATTGCCACTCTTTGCGCAAGACGCGGCGACTTCTTCGGGCGGGGGGCCCGATGTTGGCGACCCCCACACGGCCCGAATCGAATCGACGAATCGATGCTTCCGGCTTCGGCTCGGTTCCGGTTTCCCCGACTCAGGTAATGCGGTCCGCTATTGGCAGAGCCGAGATCCCAGGCGGCCGAGTGTATTGGAGACCCAGGTGCCCGTCTCTCCCGTTTCTTTTTTTGGGGGGGGATTCCCTAAAAGAAAAACGTCGGTACCTGAACCCTCAAAAATCCCTTAAAAATGGGGTTGACCCCCAAGATTATGGGGTGATATCCCATTTTTATAGGTAGTTTGAGAGTCCAAGTACCCTTATTCTAACCTCTCTGGAGGACCTAGTATTGGAGACCCATCCACAGGAAACCCACCGGGGTATCACTTGAGAAAACTGGCAAAGGGTTCCACGTGAGCGGATGCAAGATGTTGGAGTGCTTTGCCAATATCGGGATGGGAACCCTTCCCGGCAGATCTGAGCTGATCAGGTTTGCATTTGAATCTTGTTGTTGTTGGGACAGCGAGCGTCGAGCATGTCCTTATGTTCCGGAGGCATGGGGTAATCTGGGGTAATCAGTCCAACGCCTCTGGATCTTACGCTTTCTTCGGCAACCTTTGCCACTGTGTTCGGTGCCTCGCCACTGGATTTCTTGAACCGCAGGGTGTGGGGCAACGCTTCAACCATAGTTGCCTCGTTTTGGGGTTGGGGCCTAGACCAATTTTAGGGTTGCGGGTTGCGCGTAAAACCTTCGCCTGCGGAAGGTGAGAGCCCTGAGAGCGGAAAGCAGTTTGAGGAAGTCTCCTCGAGACGCAAGGCCAAAAGGCCAAGCCCATCCACGCGAGCCGGAGCTGTGCAGGTCCATACCTATTGGGAAGGAACTCCACCAGTTGCTTGTAAATGGTTGATTCTTTTACGACTGGTGTTCCAAACTCCCCAGGCTCCATCTTGAGATTTGGGAAGCATGTGGTCGTTGTTCAATTGTGAAGATGGGCCAAAGCTCCTTCTTGCCAGAGCTGGTCTCGACCTAGGCTGCCAGTTCATTCTGGGCGACTTGATGCCAGAGGGCGCCAAGGAAGACTGCAAAGCGAGCTTTCAGGAGAGCGGTTCGACTTCTTGACAAGCGCGGGCTTCGTCCAGAGGTCAGTCCTTTCAAAGTCCTCGGAAAGACCATCGAGAGTCCGCCCATCTTGGACAAGAAACTTTAAGGAACCACACGCATGAATAGTGGGAGAGCCTGCCCACCAAAAGCTGGGTCGCCGCCGGCGCTGGCGTTCGGCACCGTCATGCGCTGTCACTGCACTTCCCCGCGTGTGCAAAGGGAAGTTTGGTTGAAGAATTTGGAGGATACATGGATTTTATTTGCAGGTTGCAGGCTGTTTCAAACCATTGTCCAATTCCAGCGATGTTTGGCTCGGGCAAGTGTCTTTGGCGAAACTTGAAAAGCCGGTTGTGCTCTTCGAGAAGCTTGCAGCATTTGCAAGAGCGTTGAAGAGCGTTGAAACTTGCAGCACTGGGAACTTTCGGCACATGCCCAAAATGGCACTTTTTGGTGGCTTAATGCAGAACGACTGCAGATTGGCGCCTTGCCGGGAATGTGCCTTTGCCAAGGGTGAGTAGGTACGGCACATTGAGGGTGGTGTGAACCTTGTCTTAAGTGTCAGGTTGCCCCGAACAGTGCTACCTAAGCGTGGCTGACAAGATTCAGAATTCAATCTGATCAAACATTGGTATGCAATGTTGCCATGTTCTGGTATCTTCCATATTCTGAGCCGTATCACTCGTTGTGTTCAGCTGAACTTGTGCAATTTCCTGCAAGAGCCTAGCTTAAGCGAAGAGCCATGTCTCTTGGTGTTCAAGCTAATCTGTGTCAGGTCAAGCCACTTGATTGACTCGTAGGGTGCACATGTCTGCACTAGTCACTACTAGAGTTTGCAGACTGCTCGCAAACAAGTCGTGAATATCACAACAACATAGGTTTTGAGGATCCAACTGGAGACGTGTTTTTTCGTGGCGGATGCTGCATTTGAAATGTGTTTCGCGTGACACACGGTCTTGTTTTCAGCGTTGCGGCCACGCGTCCTGACTCGTGACCCATGCTTTGGCATAGCACTTCTCACCACGCCTCGAGCTTCCCTAAGCCGGAAATTGGCATTTGGGAAGTCTAGTTAGTGGTGATGTAGGGAACTTTGAAGATTTGTTGACATGCATCCTGAAATGCTGTCCACCGAGTAACATTCACTGCTTTTCATTGTTGACTCGCTAAGGCCAAAGCTCGAGTGAAAGAGTGTTGACCTCTTGGCAGGAGCACATTGACAAAGCCGTCAAGGCGACCAATCGAGGGCCTGACAGGGTTGGGCTAATCCCTGGTTCAAACATGATCCCTTGTTTAAGCTTGGCTCCTTGGTCCAAATGGGTCCAATTCTGTGTGGCGGTCTCATTGGTTTTTCGCCAGTTTTGCCAGCCAAACATGACACCAATCTTTTTGCCTCAGTCGAGCCAGTGTATTGCTGGAAATGCATGGAACACATGTCCCAGTGGATCCATGGTGCCATAGGTAACTCGCCATTTTCCTTTGCGCTGCTGAAGGGTTCCCTTTGTTGCTTCTACATGCCAATGGAATCACTGGGTGTAAGATCTTCCGTATGTAACAGAGGCAGCTCTTGAGGGTTTGAGCGGTACCCCTGCTTCTCAGTTGAATTCGGTCGCTGGAGAGAGTTTCTATTTGGTTTTGTGTTTTGTTCACGTGTTGTTTCATCATGTGGCAAAGCGGCCGAATGGCCGTTTGGCTCAAGTTTAACCTCCCGTCAGGTTAGTTTTGGTAGCACGGCACTCGCCATAGCACGGCATCTCGCTGCGTCGCCGAGAAAGGACTCTCGGCGCTGGGGTGGGCTGGTGCTAGGAGGTAGGTGGTGCTGCGGCAGGACTTGCCTGGGCCTGGTTAAGGTGATCTTTTGCAACTTGCTGTTTAACCTTCACTTCAACCACCTCTTCCTCAATCATCACGTCCTTCAACCTGGTCACCGGCTTCAGTCCACTGAGTCGTGAGTCCGGGTTCTTTGGGTTCTTCGTGGATTACGTGAACCCTTTTTGATTCCCTGGGCAACGCCCTTTCCGCCCAAAACCGCAGGTTATCAGCCGTACCAGCTAGAAGCTGGGGCTGGTGATCCGGTTGCGGGACGTGACCCGCTACCTGCTCCCATCGCCTACTTGTACGAGCAATGGCGTCCCCCGGAGCTTCTCATCGTGGGCCGGGCTTCGTGGACGACGAGGCCAACGCCCTTCGCGGCAATGCCGCGCCTGCTGCTTCCGGCTTAGACAGCCGGCTGTGGCCCATCCCCCCGATGGTGGGCGCAGAGCCCAATCCCGGGGTGATCACGGACGATTGGATCCTTTCTCAGGTTGTGTTTGATGAGGATGCGGAGGCCCCTATCCCGGCGGCAGTGCTCCAGATCGAGGACGGACCCCCTCTAGAAGAGGCTGAGGTTCCTCCAAATCAGGTGCCCTCATCGATTTCGCCTACTGTTCCGTTCGTGGCGCTCCAGATCGAGGACCGGGCTATCCATCATGCTGCTCATCCGGAGCCGGCTCAATCATGGTCCCTTACATGGGATCAGTTTGACCAACTCCTCGGCAGTGGATCGCAGGCTACACCGCCTGATTTCGGTCGGCTCGACTTTAACTCGGGTGCCCCCGTTTCGGTTGGGAATCTGGATTTTCAATCCCTTTGTGATGCTGATTGGAGGTCTCAGCCTTCCCGAATTGACAGATCCTTTGATGTTTTGCCGTCGCATGAGCCTACTCAGGGTTTTCCTCATGATGGAGAAAATGACCCCATTGAAGATTTCTCCCCTTCTCATGTTGCAGGTTCGGCCCAACCCGAGGTGGGCAAACGGGCGATTGAGGATTGGCCGCAAATAGCTGGCCCTCCTCCCGTCTCAGGTTCATCCGACATTGACATCATTCACGATCACCCCAGTCCGGCGGATATGGACTTCATCCCTGATGCAGTATCATCTCACCTGTCAGGTACCCGTGACCGGAATGCGGACCGCTACAACGCTGGTCCGAATCCACCGCTTTCCTCAGGTACCCGAGGTCGGGATGCGAACCGCTACAACGCGGGCTCAAATCCGCCAAATCGGACATCAGGTACTAATCGATCGGATGTGGGCCGCGAAACAGCAGGCCCAAATCCTTCCTCCTCTTCGTCAAGAAGCCATGCCGGTCTCTTCGCGGCGTTCAATCGGCGTCAGACTCGAAAAGAGTCCGCCCCCGACGTCATCGACCTCGAGGAGCAGTCCAGCCACCGTACCAGCGATGGATCCGAGCAGGATACACCTGGCATTGGCTCCACTCCATTTGACCTCCTCGACATCCCCTTCCATCAGCCACCCAGGAGAGGAAATGAAGATGATGAAACCATTCCTGGGATCCTTGATGTAATCGATGAGGCCGAGGTCACACCAGAGAGACGAACTACATCGCTCCCGCCGAGCCGCGTTGCCAAAGTACTTTCCCCTAAGCCACTCAATGGTGACGTTGCTCAACGGCTTGATCTTACTCAGCCTAATCCAGATCAAGCTCAACTTCGCGGATCATCATCATTTGATAATGTGTCGGGACAAACCGGCACTGACTCACGAGCCACAAAGAGGAGCTCTGAGTCACCCGAGAGACGTGAAGCTGCTCTCCGACTGCGATCTAATCCCCCAGCTCATCACGACCCTATTGACGTTCCTATCCACTCTGCGGGGTCTGGGCTCAGCTCCAATGCCCCGATGTCCGAGAAGGAGACTGATGACGGGATTAACTCTACGCCTAGGAACCGGAGGCCTGGACTTAGCGCCGTTGCCCCTGGATATGGAGGGCTTCCTTCGAATCAACCGGTTAACGACTCCCTCGTTCCCGCATTCTTTCAAATCGGAACTCCTGGCTGCACTCCTGACAGGGAAGAAAATAGTCGCGGAGATCATGACGCTGATAGCCGTCCTGCTCCGTCTGCCTCCACAAGTGGCGGCCATCCTGTTGCATCTGAGCTTCAACGACTGCTTCTCGCGATCCACAACGAGGTCAAGGGGTGCAAGGCCGAAATCCAGGGGTGCAGAACTGAGATTCGTTCATGTAGGGATGATATCAACGCTTGCGTCGGTGAGATCAAGAAGATCAATAACCGTGTTGACGCCTTCGAGAAGAAGGTTGAATCATCTTTCTCTGCCGTTGCTGGAACTCTCTCAAAACACGAGGCTAGGTTCCGTGATTTCCACGAGTGGGTCGCCCGAAGCGAGAAGGAGACGAATGAGCGTTTCAAGATGTATGATGAGAGATCTGACTCGATCGTCACATCTGCTGCTGGACTTCGCGAGCAGGCCGAATCACTTGAGAACGTCAAGGTCCAGCTCCTTAGGTTCTCTGAGATCGGAGCTCTTGAGGCTGAAGTTCGGAAAATCAAAGACGAAGTTGAGGCGAACTCTCGCAGTGTCATCGACATTGAGGGAACCATATCAAGGGAAAGAACCATCCGTGGGAACGTCGAGACGTATATTCAGCATCTCGTTCCTGCGACCGACCTGAAGCAGTTCAGTGATAGGGTGTCCGGAGCCCTCAATGAGAACTCACAGAAACAGGAGGAGTTCAAGCTTCAATTGTCCCGTGTTGCTAGGTGCGTCAAGGACCTTCATGACAAAAGCTTAGGGCCCAATCCGAGGAACATGCAAGAGCAGTTTATGAAGCTTGTGCTGAGGGTCAATGAGATCAACATGCAGATCGCTGAGATAAGGGAACAACCTCCCGCTGCCTACGGATCTTCAAATGCTGGCGCTGCTTCGACCGCCGGGACGGGATCATGGGAAAAATCTGGAGACACTAATCCCTTAACCCAGGGAAGGACCCCTAGAGGTTCTCCTCCTCGTGATGTTCGCCTCAGCTCGACGAGATCTCCTCCGCCTCCACCTCCTTCGCACAGTCAGCTCGACGAGATCTCCTCCGCCTCCACCTCCTTCGGGGCCACCCCCACCGTCACCATCAGCCCCCATCTCCGGCAGGGATCCCTCTAGAACGAGGGCCATTGCTCGGGCTGCCGGCGCTGCCCCTGATAACCGGGCCAGGTGTGCTCATGAAGAGGCCGGGCATCCACAGCATCGGGAACCTCGCTATCCATGCCGAAGTTGCGGCAAGTCAGTCTGCGAGGACTGCTTTGACCATGATTGTAACTCGTGTTTCAAGTGCAGCGATCAATTTCCTAGATGCCGCGCATGCAGAGGAAGAGGGGGGAGACACGGACTTGTGAGGTGTCTCATATGCAAGGACGAGTACTGCGATCAACACATCGCTTCGCCTGACGATGTGCGTCGTTTTGGGTCGAGTGTTCGACCTATCTGCCTCGGTTGTCTGAGAGCTGATCCCGACGGGAAAACTAAACATCGGGGCCCCAGTGCGGGGCCTGGAGGACCTGATTGCATTCCTGATCAAAATCAGCGGGATGGCACTGCTCCTGATCCTGGATCCGGGCCATCACGTGAAGATCCGTCACATCGGAGTCCTGAACCGCACCAAGGAAATTCTGGTTTTTGTTCCCACGCCGGAGCTGCCGGGCCAATGCCACCAAGGGCAATGTCTTCGCCCGTGGTCGGACGAGCAGTTCCGAGGGGGACCATCAACACGTACCCCGGATGTTCCCCTACAGGGGGGATCTTCACCGGTCAGGTTGAGCATGGAACGTCTCAGGGAGTCATTCGCGGGAGATACGGGCCTGACGCTGCTGTGACAAATCAGCAGAATCCACAGCCTCACCACGGAGCACAGGATAACTCTGGCGGGCCAACTGGTTTTTCTCTTCCACCAGGACTCGGTAAGGGTGTGCATGGCGTTGGTGGCGTCGGCGGTATTGGAGCTCCCGATATTCGCCGATCTTCCGCTGAGGAGAGAGTCTGCCCTCGGTGCAACATAAATGTCAAGACCAGCATCCCCGGGACGCCTCCATGTTTCCAAACTTGTTCGTTGTGCCGCACTTCTCTATGCGCCGCGTGCTGCCCGCCATCGTCCGGGAGTTGCTCTCTGTGTGCCATATCCATTGGCAGAGACGGCGTTTTACCTCCCCATGTTTTTGGGCAGGCTACTCGACCTCCCTTAACTTCGTTGCCATCTGAGGCGAACAAGTGCGCCAACATAGAGCTCGAAAAAGAGCCCGCACCGCATGAGTTGCGAGACTGGATCATTTCCACGAGAGAAATCGTGAGCAACGCATTCAGCTATGACTCGCCATATGCCATGTCTTGGGTCATGAGTGTCGAGAACGCCAGCACAATAGAGGAACTTGATGGGGAGTGC